TTTGTCTCATTGAAAATGAATTTTAAAAGGCATCCGATTTGAAGTAGTAAGACCTAAAACATGTATGATTCTGCAGTCATTTTGTGTTATTTAGAGGTATAGACCAGTAATCAATTGATTTTCACTCAAAAATTTCGGAAAGAAGAGGAGAAAAAAATTCAAAAATTGGTGGTTTCGGGGTGTGACCACCGCATGTCAAAGAGTTAAAAGATTAAACCAGTCTAATCTTGCTCAATGCTTAGGTAACGTACAGTGTTATTAATTTAAATGATTCAAAGATGGCCACTTCAAGTGCAATGAATGATTTAAGCATTTTAAGAGTTTACATATACATTATCTAACAGAGAAAATATAACACCATAGAAGAGTGAATATGATGTGATGAAAACTGACAGACAAGCAGAAGATGCATCCTGGCTGCATCTTCTGGCTCAGTCCCATCCTGGCTGATATCTACATGCATTATTATGAATCAAAATTGTTTGAAACTTTAAACTTCCCGGCATGGTTCCGCCACATAGACGATACTTTTACTCTGTTTGAAGGTAATAAAGATGATTTAAATAAAGTTCTTTCAACAATGAATTCTATTGATCCTGCTATTCAGTTCACTTTTGAACTTGAGACTTGCAATTCTCTTCCGTTTCTCGACATTCTGGTCACACGTAACACATCCAACTTCAGTACTACGGTTTACCGTAAACCTTCATCGGTTTGCCTTCCACCACACTTTAAATCATGTCATCCGACTAAACAAAAGTTAGCTTCATTTTATTCCTATGTTTTCCGTGCTCTTCAAGTTTGCTCCTCCAAACTAGCCCTTGATGAAGAACTAAAGTATTTAAAAGCAATAGCTATTGACAGGGGCTTTCCACCCAACATTATTAATCAAGCAGTTAAAAAATTCTCATCTCAACACACTAAAAGGCACAATCTTGTTTTAGGAGATTATAAAAATTCTGTTGTCATTCCCTTCTTTCCATCAATTAGCTATAAAGTTGCACATATTTTGCAGAAATTTAACTTTCGGGTTGTTTATTCTCCCATCAATAAAATTCCGAGTTCCATACTCAAGGACCCCATTCCAGATATGAATTCCTGGGGTATTTATAGGATTCCTTGCCAGTGTGGTTTAATTTACATTGGCCAAACTAAGAGAGCCTTAAAATTTCGCGTCAAGGAACATGAGGCATATGTTAGAAAAAAGGAAACACAGAAGTCTTCTGTTGCTCAACATTGTTGGTCCGAAAACCACACTTTCAGTTTTTCTGCTGCCAAAATTATTCAAAAAACATCTTCCATTGGAGAACTGGATTTTCTAGAGGCATTTCACATTCATAAAAATCTTTCTGTTCTAGTTAACGATCCTAATTCCAATCCAAATTTGCCTTCGGCCTTTAAAGAAATTATGTTTTAGTTCTGGTTTTACTAACAGATGGCGCCACTTGCTTATTCTTGTCCAGGCTTCCTTATCTTATCTAATCATTATTTCCTATCTTGTTCATTTGCGGTTTTGCAGCTGAAGATGGTGGTTCGGTAAAACCATCGAAACTAGTCCTGTGAAAATTTTGTAAATATAACGCTGATTTTTGTTGTTTGACTTGATGCATGTTTATATAATTGATGTAAATGAAAAATAGTAATGCAATACAACAATCAAATACACAGATTGATCTGTAAGAAGCTAGAATCACTTCTTGTAGTCATTTGACTAATAATCCTTTGAGGCATAAATGAAATCGGTGTGTAGATAATGTCCTAAATGGTGGATAATGATATGTTTTCAATCATCCTCCACAATTTGTCATCCAATTAAGACAGGAGCAGATTAAGCAAGTGATGGCTAATCATGTCCCACAAATGCTTAAATGGTGTGAGTTCTGGAGACCTTGATGATCAAGGAATCATCTAAATGCTTTGTTTGCTGGTGATTGCCATGTTTGGTTGGGCATTATCTTGCTGGAAAACAAGATTTTGCAATAAATTGGGAATAGCTGGAGTATTTCTCTCATGTATCAGTCTACTATTATTGTGGCTGTAATATGAACCATAGGTAACTAGCTATCTGTGGTATTGGTGCCTCATGTAATGATGCCACATTATTAAACAATGAGGCATTAAATATTCAAAGCAGGGTTGGAGTTGTCTCATGTCACTTGCAGAGTCTTACTTGACAACGATCATGAATGAAGCATAGCAGAAATGGGAACTGTCACTGTATGCTACACGAGCCATTTAATCATCCAAGAGACTTTATCTTGACACCATTGCAATCATTGCCATTGGTGACTTTGCATAAATGGCAATCTTCATAGAGTGAGTGAGTGAGTGAGTGAGAGACTATGGCGCAAAACCAAAGTTGATTATAGTGCGCCAAACGTGAGATGGGGTGAGTACAATTGATGAAATTAAAATACAATAAATAAAAACAAGTAGACAAATGTATCAAATCCAGAGGATGAAGTCATATAAACACAAGTTAAAAACCACACATTTAAAATTCAAGACACAATTTACAAAACAAATGACATTAGGTGATAAAAGCCAGTCTCTTTTAAATAATAAAATAAATTACAATTCACCTCCCTTCCGATTAAACGGTCGAGAGGTAAGTCACAGCTATTAAAATACTTCTGACGAAGGTTATTAAAATATGGACACTGAATTAAAATATGACGGACAGATAGACAAACATTACAATTTGAACAAACAGGCTCAGGCAATCTTCATAAAGAACAGCATGTTTGCAAGCTGCTTTTGATCACTTATCCAGAAACTGTTCTTAATGGTACATGAGCATCCATAGCTCCCTGCACCTTTTGCCTAAATTTTATAATCATGCTTTGTGAGGTCATTATTGCACTGGGCGTATGGGTTAGAGTAGATTGAATGGTGTCCCTTGGATTATTGCTAAGTTGTTGTTTCATTTATCATCAGATTGTTGTTTAATTTATGGTAACCAAAGTAGTTGAATGTTATGGAAACCCTATTATGACATAATTGGTTGCATGATTGTGGTAAATTTGTATTATGGGACGGATTTTGGTATGTTGTTATTTTGTGGTTTACATGGTAAAATGGCAGAATGTTGTAAGATTAATTTGAAGTTTCTGTATGATTTTGAATGAAAGGGAGAAAAGCATTAATTGACTGGTGTGTAAATGAAGGTTTACTTAGTTGCCATTTTAAGTATCCTTGTTTGTAGGAAGGTCGAGTGTCGGAGGATATTTTTTACTCTTATTTTTGTGAATTTATGTGGCAACACCAGTAAATGGATTCTAGTTCAGATAATTTTAAAAAGTTTTTGGATGCTGCTAAGGAATTTTGTTTGACTGAAGACAGGTAAATTTGTAAAGAAGGTAAGTGGATTTTTCCTTTGTGTAGTTGCTAAGATGAATTTCCATTTTTATGTTATTTCATTGTTTGATTCAAAATGTAGTTCATTGAGATTATAAATTTTTTGTTGGCTGCTCCTTTGACTTTTTAAGTGAGTACAGATGGATGTGTACGTGGACAAAGTCAAGGAAGTGCACAATGCCTAAGTGCAATTCTCTAATTTTTTTTAAGTGAAAATAGGTTAATGTGCACATGGATACAGAGTCTGTGCAGTTCTACTGCTACACAAAGCCAAAATAACAAGTCAAGGAACTGCACAAACTCGGTGTCCAGGTGCTGCCAATTATCACCAAGCGACACCCATAAATATATTTTTTACCGGCGTATGTAAATGTGTTTCTGTTGTAAAATGATAGAAGAACCAACCTTGGTAAAAGTATATTTTAGGGTACCCCTTGGCAAAACTTAATGATTTTCGGCAGTACATGGATACCGAGTTTGTGCAATTCTTTGACTTATTATTTTGGCTTGCGTAATGGCGATTTTTGCGCCAAAAATCGCCGCTACACAAAGCCAAAATAACAAGACAAAGAATTGCACAAACTCGGTACCCATATACACATTGAGCTATTGTCACTTTAAAAAAATCCAAGAATTGCACAAACTTGCATTGCGCGCTCCCTTCACTTTGTCCATGTACACATCGATATATTTTCACTTAAAAAAATTAAAGGAGCATCCAATTCTACAATACAGGCAAACAAAAAATACATAATCTCAATAAACTACATTTTAAACCAAGCATTAAAATAACATAAAAAAGGAAAAACATGTTATACATTTAAGCACTACAGACCTTAACTACAGCCACTTACCTATAGCTTAAACTACAGCCACTTACCCTATTTAGAAGTTCCTTCGTCTTTAGTCTGTGGCACACAACACACAAAAATCCTTAACAGCATCCAAAAACTGCCTAAAATTATCTGAACTCGAATCCGTATAGCAGCATCGCCACATCTGAACCTTTCTTCTTTCTACCCCATTCAAATCCACCTAAACGGTTTTTACGTTCGACTAGACGAACACTTATAATGGCTCCTTCCTACATACAGAACACTTATAATGGCTACTAAGTAAACCTTCATTTACACACCAGTCAATTAACGCTCTTTTCTCTTTCATTCCAAATCGTACAGAAACTTCAAATTAATCTTACCACATTCAGCCATTCTACTGTCTAAACAATAAAACCAACACGTACCACAAAAGCGCTTAGATCCCGTGATTCAAAATTTCCCAGATTTATGCACCCGATTACATCACAGTAGGGTTTCCACAACATTCAACTACTCAGGCTACCATAAATGAAACAGCAACTTTGCCATAATACAAAGGTACCTTAAAGTCTACTCTAACCCCAACCTGCTATATGTAGGTCTAAAATGAAATCCCTTGTTAAAACATCTTGTTCCAAAACTGACTTTGGATCATCTTTCAGACATATCCAACTATGTATGCCTTTGGAATGAAAAATAGCCTGAGAAATGAATACCTACAGAATACCAACCAAAAATGATACTTTTCTTAAATGATATTATCTAATATATGTTTTGTTTGCATATTTTGATAATTTAGGAAATTATTTCAAAAATTAATTTCAGACATATGGTGAAAAACCGTTACCTGAAATGACAAAACCAAAGCATGTAACTGTCATTCTGAATCCTCAAGCTAATAATGGGTAAGGAATTTTTTTCTTTCAAAGCATATTTTGTTGACTTTTAGTTTATTTTAATAAATTGCTAAAATTTAAAGATTGCTAATCTAAATTTGACCTGATTCTAGTGAAAAAAAGAAGCTTATTGTGTTTCAAGGGAGTCATGGTTTCTCTTCACCAAAAATTATAAATATTATTCTGCAAAAATGCACTGATTTCATTAAATGGCAACAATAATTTAAAATTAAGAAGTGCTAAGTTTTGCTAGAAAATAATCAAATCATTTTTTAAATTGAAGTTAATGCTTTTTATTTTCCCCCCAAAAAGATTGAATATTACCATTAATACCTAAATGAGAAAAACCTTACTTAATATAATTTGAGTCTTTTCTTTTTTGATACCTCTAAGAATTTAGAGTGCTTTTAAGGATGAATTCATAACATGCCATAAGAGCCAATTTTTGATAACAAAAACATTTAATCACATCACAATATTAAAACTTAATTACTACAGTCGATAGACAATCACGTTGGAGGAAAGCAAGCAACCAACCACACCGACGGCGAGACGTGACTGTGTGTCGCCGAAATCACCTTCGGTTACAGTTAGTGATAACGGCACGCGGTTGGCGAGTACAACACATGTTTACAGAGTCGCCACACTACTCCCCCTCCAGTGGCAACAAATTAAAGGTACCGAGGGTTAAATCGGACTCTATGTCCGGAACGTGTATACTGAGGAGCACTTGTTTTCTGGGATCCAGGCACAGGAACTGACGTAGTAGCAGATTTTGGTGTAGATCCAATAGATGAAGGTGCCTTCGAAGGAGGTGGGACTGATGTACCAGTCTCGACAGTTTGTGGTGCTAAGATAAAGGCTGGTTTGAGACGATCAAGGCTCACCACTGTCTCTTTGTCGCCGATTAGTATCCGATAGTTCTTGGATGTGCGACTTAGAACTAGGTGTGGGCCTGTATAGGTAGTCTCCAAGGACTTTTTTTGATGCATCACACCGTAAGAACACATGTGAGGATGTAGCGAGTCTTTAGGCACAAACACAGGTCTTGAAGAATGTATGCTTGTGGGCTTAGGGTATAATGCAGCCATGGTTTCACGCAATTGTTTGAGGAATGCATGGGGCTGGACATTGGGTGAGTTTTTGCGGGATTTATAAAATCTCCCGGTAAACGTAAATTGGTACCATAAACCATTTCAGCACTTGAAGAACCCAGGTCCTCTTTGATAGCCGTTCTGAGTCCTAACAACACAGTAGGAAGGACATCAACCCAGTGAATAGCAGTATGGCATCTAATGGCCTGTTTAAGAGAGCGATGGAACCTCTCAACAAGTCCATTGGAATTCGGGTGGTACGGTGATGTACGGATCTTTTTAGTTCCCAAGAATTTTGTTAATGCAGTAAATAATTGAGATTCGAACTGCCGTCCTTGGTCCGTGGTAACGTACTCGGGTACCCCAAACCGTGAAATCCATACAGAAAAAAAGGTTTTTGCCACAGTGTCGGCTGACATATCTACAATAGGGATAGCCTCTGGCCAATGTGTGTATCTGTCGACACACGTAAGAAGATATGTATAACCTAGTGATGGGTCCAACCAAATCGATATGTACGTGGCTAAAGCGAGCAGATGGTAACTCAAAGCGTTGACATAGAGTTCGAGTGTGCCTGTGAATTTTTTATTTTTGACAGTCTGTACATGACTTCGCCCATGCAGCGATGTCCTTCTGCATACCAGGCCATACAAAACGCTGTTGAATTAACGTGCGAGAAGCACGGATGCCAGGATGGGATAAATTATGGAGGCCGCTAAAAATACCATGCCGGAATTTCAGTGGAATGTATGGCCGCACCACATTACCTTGCACATCGCAGTACAGTGAAAGATCTGGTTCTAACTGCATAGGTACTAAATTAAGTCCATGAGAAGACTTGTCAGACAAAAGATGTTGCAATTCTGGGTCCTGTTTCTGACATTCAGCAATGGCGGAGAAATCTGTTGTTGATGGCAACTGAACCTCTTCAATTCTGGACAGAGCATCAGCAACTGTATTTTGAGGGCCTTCTACATGCCTAAAATCGGTTGTAAACTGCGCTATGTAATCAAGATGACGCATTTGCCTGGGAGAAGCCTTGTCAGGCTTTTGTCGAAAAGCGAAAATTAGCGGCTTGTGGTCGGTATAGATAGAAAACACACGACCTTCTACCATATGACGAAAATGTTTAACAGCCTCATACGCACTAAGAAGTTCGCGGTCGTACGTGCTGTATTTTGATTGCGCTGCAGAAAATTTTTTCGAGAAGAAAGCCAGAGGCTTCCATGCTCCGTCTACCAGTTGCTGCAAAACCGCACCCATGGCCGTATTAGACGCGTCAACCATTAATGCTAAAGGGTGCTTAGAAGGATAGCTAAGAGCTGTTGCCGACGCTAAGTCATTCTTACATTGTACAAAGGCTGTACGGGCATCATCAGACCAAATAATTGGCCGCGTATCTTTCTTTTTACTCCCAACCAAATATGTGTGCAAAGGTGCCTGCTTTTCAGCGGCATGAGGAAGAAAGCGACGATAAAAATTTAACATGGCCAGAAAACGACGCAGCTCCTGAACAGTTTTTGGCTCTGGGAAATTTTGAATTGCAGTGACTCTGTCACTAAGTGGGCGAACGCCCTCCGAAGAAACTTCGTGACCAAGAAATGACACTTTAGATTTCCCGAAAAACACATTTTGATGGATTAATGACTACACCATAAGACTGAAATCGGCCAAGGACTATGCAAAGGTGTTCAAGGTGCTGGTTTTCAGTTGTCGAGGCTACCAGAATGTCATCGAAATATGGGACACAAAAATCTAAATCTCGAAGGACTTCATTAATGAAGCGCTGAAACGTTTGCGCAGCGTTACATAACCCGAAAGTCATGACAGGAAATTCGAATAATCCAAAAGGTGTTATTACAGCAGTTTTTGGTATATCTGATGGTAAGCACGAGTCAAATCTAACGTAGAAAAAATATTTTTGCCTTCCAAGACTTGCATGCAGTCCTGAATATGAGGAACCGGATATCTATCAGGCAAAGTAACTGAATTAAGACGTCGATAATCCCCACAAGGACGCCAGTCGCCGTTTTTCTTAGGGACCATGTGGAGTGGACTGGCCCATGAACTTTTAGATGGCCGACAGATTCCTTGCTCAAGCATGTATTTAAATTCTTCTTTTGCAGCCTTTAATTTCTCTGGAGGCAACCGCCGTGCTTTGGCAAAGATTGGTGGTCCAGTAGTCTCTATGACGTGTACAATACCGTGGTCAGCAGTCGGTTTGCCAGTTACTGAGCGGATGACGTTAGGGTATTGCTCAAGTAGTTTGTGGAAAGGAGAATTACCGGAAATTAATTTAATTCCAAAATTAGTGGCATTTCCAATGCTACCTACCGCGGACAATTGTGTGATGGAGTCGAGTAAGCGTCGATTTTTAATGTCGACCAACAGAGAAAATTTTTGCAGAAAGTCTGCACCAATTATTGGGTGCGAAACCGCAGCGATGACAAATGGCCATTGAAATTTGCGACGCAATCCTAGATCCAAAGACATTAATATTTCTCCATATGTTGCAATTTTTGACCCGTTAGCTGCAAATAAGTTAAATTTTCCAGGCGGCCGTTTGGATTCGGCAAAAGAGGGAGGTACAACCGAAATGTCAGCACCTGTATCAACAAGAAAACGTCTGCCTGATGGTTTATCTGTTACGAACAATCGACTAATGCACGGGCCGTTGTCACTCATGGCTTCGAGTGACGGCCCCTTCAGTTTAAAGAGGTCTTCTGAAATTTGCATGGAGGTGTACACTTGCGCGCTTTATCACCGAATCGGCTGTGATAGAAACAAATGTCTGATTGAGTACCAGAATGAGCGCGTTGGTATTCCCTATTATTTCGGTTCCGGGACTTTGATCTACCGCGCGGATGATACTGAGATCGTGTCTGTAAGGCTGCGACCTGCAATGATAATTCCTGGATTTGTTGTTGAAGAGATGAAATATCAACACTGGGATGCTGAACTTGACTGATTGCTTGTGGTTGGAGAACATCATGAATTTTGTCTGCCATTTGGGCCAGTTGGGGTAGGTTCTCGTTACTGGAGGCAAGAATAGCTTGGATATTGTTCGGGAGACGATTGAGCCACAATGATTGTAAAACATTGGACTTAAAATTGTCACCCGCAAGCTCCTGCATTTTTGACAATAACTGGGATGGGCGCATATCACCAAGTTGCAAATCTTGTAATAACTGCTTTAGTTTGGTGTTTTCAGACTCCTCATAAAAATAAACTGAAATTAATTTATTTTTCAATTCCTCGTATTTATTATCCGAGGGGGGTTCAGAACAATCTCGCGTACTGACTGAAGAACCTCAGTGTCGAGGGCGGAAATTGCAGTATAAAATTTCGTGTCGTCGCGTGTTATACCCCCGAGCTTGAATTGTGCATCTAATTGAAAAAAACCAAAGGTTGGGGTCACTACGGCAAAATGGGGCAGGTTTCACAGCAACGCGAGCCATTTGTTTGTCATCAGTGGCTAGAGGATCGCTAGTAGCCATAATAAATATGAATAAATACAGATAACAAAAAAAAAAAAAAAAAA